TTACAGGTAAAAGCAGGAAACAAACTATAGAATTCGAAATAAATTAAAATACTTCTTGAAAATGGAACTTTATTTTTTGTTTGCAAACAGAAAATGTCTTCACAAGAACGAAAGTCAAGGGAGATAATTCAGGAAAAAGTTTTTTTTAAGCTGAAGAAAAACAGATTGCATTACATGGAAGCAAGTCTCAACAAGCTCATCACATTGGATCTTCCACATTTTTAGCCTTGTGCCAGACTGATCTAAATTTGTTGCTAATGGTCACTGTGTAATTACAAATAAAACACGGATTTCAAATGATTTTTTAAAGGCAGAAAAAGGCATTTACAATGTGTATTATCGGCGCAACACAATCTTCCAAACTTCTTTCCCAACAATTAAGCCTTGAAACTATATTAACTGAAACTCTGAAAATATCCAGAGTATTGATTTTTTTCTTTCTCTTCACTGGGCGTGTCCATCTTGTCTGGTTTTCTAAGTAAACTCATACTCCAATGTAAATCATGTTGAGAGTGCTCTTTCCCAACTGAGAAAAAACTATATATATATATATATATATATATATAGTTCACTCAGACCCATGCTGACTATTAGCTAATATCTGCCCAGTATCATGAGTATGCAAATTTTGTCAGCACCACCTACTCTAAAAATTTTAATGTCCTCTCTCAACAGCCAATTGTGGGAGAGGACATAACTTCTGGTACTTACTGCACCATATGCAACCAACTCTAGGTCTCTTGGTGGATTGACCCAATTCTCCATTACACTGGGATATGTTGTATACCATTGATGTTGCTATCTGAGTATCAGGATTTCAAACATTTAACAATAACAACACATCTTTTAAATAAAACATACAAAAAGGTTATTCTCTGAAGGAAAAGTAGAAGCAGAACATTAGTTGAAATAACATTTATATATTCTTTTTAGAAATATAAAATAACAATAAAATGTTCAATTTTCCTTGCAGTGAAGTTTGTTTTATAATGTAATTAAGTATTCGTAAAGCAGTGTGAAATGTGTAGACAGACTTACTTTAAGATGATCAGCCTAAAGTGTTTGTAAGTTTATTGACAAAGCCCTAGTTGGCAGCTGCTGGCTGTCATCTCTACATTGTGTGCATCTGTATGCATGTGTAGTTAAAACAGTCCTCTGAAAATGTTTTGAGCCCTGAGAAGCAGTATGCTTCTGTTTTTATATCCATAAAGGAGATCTAAAATCTAATTTTACATAGCAGTGTGAACTTTTTGAATACAAGGTTTTCATTAGTTATAAAATAATTTTATACTGGCTTTTCCTCAAATTTGCAGGAGTGGTAAAGGGAGTTATTAATGTTATTTTCTAAATGGTCCAAAAAATAATGTGGTAGATCCATCAAAAATTTTTGGTGGTATTATCCCTTGTAATGATTGTTTATCAAACAAATTTTCTGATGGGATTTTTTTGGTTGAAAAATATATATAGGATTTAATTCCTATAATGTCACCCCTGTTGACTGGAATAAAGTGGAGCTCTATAAAGCCAATGCTTTTTCTCTCTAGGGAGTTTTTTTCTTGTCTGTTTACCTGGAGAACCTTTATCACTAAGGATTAATTGCACTTGGGATTTTTGCCTGTTGTTTAATTGATGAGAGAGTCAAGCGGAGAGTGAAAGAGAAGAAAAAAGAAGACGAGGAAATCCAAATGAACTAAGACAATTACTTCATTTAAACAACACGAAATAAAATGGATTTCAAAGACACTCATTTGAAATTTCTGACACATTTCTTGGATATTTAGGAAAATGGTCAATAATGTGAAATCCTGTCCAATTTATAAAATCATTACCACACTCTTTATCCCTTGTTTCCTGATTAAGAGTGGGTTTCTGGTTCCTTTCAAAATCTACTTTCCCACTATTAGTTCTAACATTTTCAACTAAACTCTGAAATGTTATTCACTAATTACATCTTGTCAACTTCAAGTCTAGAGTTGGATGTTGTTTTTCCTGCATAACTTCTTCCCTTTTCTTACCCTAATACAACACCACACAGTAACCATCTACATTGAGTGGTTCTTGGGCCTTGTATAGGTGAACATTAATTTTAAAAAAATTCAGAAGTGTAACAGGTTTAAGTACCGAAATTAATTTTTTTTATTTAGAAAAATAAATTTGGGTAATTTTTAGCCTTCTTGGCCTCCAAAAAACTAGTATGTCAAAAGGATGGTTATTTCTTTGAGATTGCTATTACTTTTGACACTCTTGACAATGTTTACTGGCAAGATTATAAAAGTACATGAACCAAGTACATTGTGATATTTACTATTTACCTTTTAGAAAGAAAGAAATGTGAAAACAAGTTCTATTACTAGCAATTATCTTTGTTCCAATCAGGATTTCAAGGTAACATTGTCCTATCATTCTGAGTACAATTATGATGAATATGATGATTTTGGGACAATAATAACAAATTTTAACAGATTCATAAGTTTCATTGCACCAACTATTGCAAATTGAGAAACTGCCAAAGCAAGATCCTGAAATCAGTTGGTGAGAGAAATTGCCAAAGCCATAACCTGAAGTCATTTGGTGAGAGAAATTGCCAAAGCCTGATCCTGAAGTCGGTTGGTGAGAGAAATTGCCAAAGCCTGATCCTGAAGTCGGTTGGTGAGAGAAATTGCCAAAAGCAGATCCTAAAGTCGGTTGCTGTTAGAAATTACGAAAGCCAGATCCTAACATCAGTTGCTAAGAGAAATTTCCAAAGCCAGATCCTGATGTCAGTTAACGAGAGAAATTGCCAAAGGCAGCTCCTGATGTCAGTTAATGAGAGAAATTGCTAAAGGCAGCTCCTGAAGTCAATGAGAGAAATTGCCAAAGGCAAATTCTAAAATCAGTAGATGAGAGAAATTGTTAAACCATATCCTGAAGTTGGTTGATGAGAGAAATTGCCTGTCAAATCTGAAGTTAGTGACTGAGACAAAATGTCTAAAAACAGAACAGCAATACAGGCTCTTACTTTATTCAAAAGAAATATTAGCTCTAACAATCTTCAATCTCACTTGCTACTAAAGTAAAACTTAAGTTTCATTGCACCGACTAGATTACATTTCTTCTGAATATATTAAAATCCTGTTAACTGAGTCAAGTGTAGAGAAATTTGTTGTCTAAGACTTGCTGTATATGGTGGCCATTCATTATTGCCACAGGGTTGAATTGCTGTCAGATTAGGATTGACTCTACAAGTGATACAGGCTGATTTGGCCATTCTGGTGAAGACTGACCCAAAGAGAGGTATCTACATATTAAAGTGACTATCCAAGTCCAACTAAAAAGAAGCAATCCAAGGAAAAAATATGCCAACCCAAAGAAGCAACCTAAACCAAACTAAAGAATTGATTAATTTGTTTTTTAAGGTATATCAACCCTTTGAACTTTATTTAAAGCCAGAAAATACTTTTTAGATTATTTTCGGAGATAAAAATAATTTTTAGTAATACACGTTTTACTAATTAACCCATAGGTGTGGGGAAGAGGTGGGTTGATACCTCTTGCTAGGGGCATCCTGGATAAGACAATAAACTACATCTGACAGCAAGGACTTTGATCAGAAGGTTTTGAAGAGTGTGGTGGTAGCACCTATTAGGGTCCCAGCTATGGGCAAATAGTTAACCCACCAAAGGGATCAAAACACTATGAAAGTACAAAAATAGGTTTTAATACCAGCAACACTATTTTGGAAAAATTTTAGCAATATATTTTTGAAAAAAAAATATAACCAGCAATATATTTTTGGAAAAAAAATATTACCAGCAATGAAAATCTTGTTAGCATTAAATAACCCATTGTGGTTGATATGCCATAAAACAAACCAAAACAAACCATCTCCCAAGGGTATTTGCATGTATGTGACTATAATGAACTCAAGTGGAATTAGAACTCAGCTCTTGGAATAACAATTACAAGCCACTATCCATTAAACCACCTGCACATCCAAATTGATTTGTGGGTGGGGGGATAATAATGGTTTTAGTGATATATCTCTTATTAATTAACCCGTAGATAGTGAGAGAAGAGGTGAATTCATATCTTTCCCAAGGGTATTTATGCATAAGCCAAACCACTAGCATTTTTTTTTTTAAGCGTTTCACCCCAAGCAAGACGAGAAGCCACTAGGACGCAAGGGGTTACAGAAGATTTTGAGCAAGATCAGATAGGAGTGATAGAGGAAAGGATGAGGAGAAGGATAGTGGATAGATCAAGACAACTGGAGATGTCGATTGACATTACATTTGAATAGTTGGAGATTATAGCTCTCAGGGAAACTGGAATAGGGAAGGGAGTTCCACAGGTGAGAGGTGTGAGATATGAAGCTATTGGAGTAGAAGAGACGTTAGATTTAATAATTTCAACAGTGAAAGAGTGAGAGCGGGATGCCAGCTTCATAGGGCACATGAATTCATGAAGTCTGGGAAAAAGCGAATGCAGCTCCTCGGAGCAATTACCATGAAAGTATTTGTAAAAAAGACAGAGAGAGGCGACAGCGTGTCTGTGAGAGAGTGACTGTAGACGAGATGCCAGAACAGGGCCAATTATATTGCATATCACTTTCTGGAGCTTATCAAGAACCCCGAAGCAAACAGAAGGGGCTCCAGACCATATATGGCAGCAATACTCCATGCAAGGGTGAATTGTTGATTTGTAGATCTGAATGATCGATTCCGGGGAGAAAAATTTACAACACCTGGTATTCTGTGGTCATCTTGTCAGGTTTTTGCACATCCGCACATTGAGAAGACTTCTCTCAACAGAAAAAAACTATAAAAAATATAGCTCTCCCAGTCAAAGACCTACGCTGAATACCTGCCCAATATTGTTTATATGCAAACAGTCATCCCCACCTACTTTAAGTAGAAGGTCTTCTCTCAACAGCCCATTGTGGAAGAGGACACAACTCCTGGTTCTTAGAGCACCACATACAACCAACTCTTTTATCAGGCTGACCTGATTCTCTGTTACATATTCCCAAGCAATCAGCCATCTAAGTACTAACCAGGCTCAACATTGCTTAACTTTGGTGATCATACAGGAACCGATGTTTTAAAGTGATCACCTGAAAGCAGGTGGAATGTGCACACATTATCAACAACTTTGCATGTCACATTCAACAGTGCGTCCTGGGTAAGACATTAAACTACGTCCAGCAGCAACGCCTCTGATCAGGAGTTTTAGAGGAGCGTGGAACCACCTTTTAATTGCTGGCATTCCCAGGTCCACCCTGACCTGGGGTGGTAGCACCTGTTAGGGTCCCAGCTATGGGCAAATAGTTGACTATTACCGGCAATACTTTTTTGAAAAAAATTATTACCAGCAATACAATTTTGAAGGAAATATATTACCAGAAACATATTTTTAACAAAACAAAATATTACCAGCAATAAAAATTTTTGTCAGTATTAAATAACCCATTGAGGTTGATATGCCGTAAAACAAAATAAACCAAACCAATCTAAACCAAAGAATACATACTCTATTCATATGAATCTATCCTAAAAATGTTGTCAGCATTAAATAACCCATTGAGGTGTTGATATGTCGTAAAACAAAATAAACCAAACCACATTCAACAGTGTGTTCAATTGGATGGACATCTAGAGCATGTACTGTAGGGTCCCTGTTGTCTTTGGTTCATGTTTGAGACTGAATGGTTGTAGATCCTAAAATGTTATGCTTTAATCTTTCAATAAATGTCATTTCTATTATTCTACAACTATGGCCTCACTACTTCCTGCTTGTTGGATGCTCTCCTCTGTAGTTCTCTAAAAACTCTGGAGGAAATTCTAACCCCTCTATTGTCCTATTAGTCTCCTATAACTTTTCAACAAAGTATTTGAGGCGTTGAATCAATGATGACCAGGTTAAGCCACTCATGACCTACTCTATGACAATCAAAATGGCTTCTGTTTTGCCAGATAATCCACTAATGTGATAACAGCCATCACTGAATATGTGTCTCTAGATATTTTGAAGGCGTTTGACAGGGTTTGGCATGCTGGTCTTCTACGTAAGCCCCAGTGCTATGGTATTACTGAACATGTGTTTGATTTAATCCAATCATTCCTATCAAATCATGAAATGAAGGTGGTTTTGAATGGGTTTGCTTCCAGATTCTTTCAAACAAAGGCTCTATCCTGGGTCCTACATTGTTTCTGATCTTCATCAGTCATCAGTTCTCAAGTAGGCATTTATGCTGATGACACTACCATTTACTTATGTCTTAATTTGGGTACCTCGACTCCGATACTTTCGGCCTTGTGTCACATCTAAGTGACACTTAAATAATCACTACTTCTGTCTTAATAGCCAATCCATTAGAGTTGACAAAGTCAACCTGGGTGCTGCTCTTGAAAACGACTGCCAATCAGTGGTTAACTGAGGCAGGAAATGACTTGTAAATTTGAATGCCTCCAAAATGAAACTCCTCTCAGTTAACTACCATAGAGAAACTTTCCTGTTCGCCATCAGCATGGCTGATGCCAGACTCATGGAGAGCAACACAATGTGCCTTCTTGGCCTCACATTCTGAACAGACTTGAAGTGGAATGTCTACATCAAATCAATAGGTTCATTTACTACAACGAAAGAGAGAAGATAGAAAGAGAGAGAAGTATAGAGAGAGATAGGTAGAAAGAGAGAGAGAGAGAGAGAGAAATATGGGTTTTAAAGGAAAGCAAGTGCCTTATTTTAATTCGTTTGTTATATTTTATTTTCATAATTCATTTTACTTTACATTTTTGTTCACCACTGATCTGCCATTCACCATCCAACAAAATCATAATATTTGTGACATCAATGTTTAGCAGTGTTTTTATTTCTATGACCATTACATTTTTTTTGTTAATCATTTCACCCCAAGCAAGGCAATAAAGTCACTAGCACACAATAGTTTACTGAGTGTTAGAGAAAATAAGAAAAACTACCTTTAAGGAAAGAGGAAAATTTGCATATAATTTTTTGAAGATCAAATTTGACTGTGAAGCAAGAAGCTGGAAGAGAGTTCCACAAGCAAGAGGTGTGATAGAAGAAACTGTTAGCATAGAACTTACAGTTACATCTAGCCATTTCAACTCTATGTATTTTATCCCTTGCAGTTGTGGCAAAGAATACAAATGTGAAACCAGATGTGGTGTAACTTGAAATTATTTCCCTTAGATTATAGAATATTTACATAAGAACTCTCTAGTTTTGTAAAAGCAGTTTCAACCCCAAATGTAAACATGTCATCATTCATTCTCATGTACTCCTTGCCAAATAAATCAAAGCTTAAAATTAACTCTGCATTATTTATATTTAATAATCCAATATCATCAAAACGCATAATACTACATGGATTCAGAAGTGGTTAGTTGAAAGTATTGAATGAACTTTAACAGAATATTTCAGTGGGAAAAAACAAAAACTTTTTTTTTCACCATCAGGAAAAGACAACAACAGTCATCACCCTGCACACATGCATTAAAAAAAAAAAAAGAATTCTTCACAAAATTGTAAGTTTATTTTTCTCACCTTATTTAAAGAAATGGCTACGAGACATTTTTCTGTGAATATTCCACCTCCTGAGAAGATGTTCTTATCAGGAAATGTTGCAAACAATTGGCTAAGATTCAAACACAATTTTTAAAATTATTCAGTCACCCGTCGACTCTCAAATGAAGCCGATACAGAATATCAAACATCTGTATTTCTAGCAACTATTGGTCATGAATGTTTTGACATTTATGAGGGACTACAATTTGACGATGATTTACAAAAAACAGAACTAGATGAGGTGATCAACAAATTTGAGGAATTTTTTGTTGGTGAGATGCATGAAGCTTATGAGCCTTATCAATTCCACCTTTGGAAACAAGAACATTTTGAGAATATAGAGACCTATATAACTTTTGCACAAACTTGTAAAAAACTTCAACTTTGCACAATTAAACAACAAACTCATTACGGATGAAGTCATTGTGGGTGTTAAAGACGATGCATAAGAAAGAAATATTTAGCAGACAAAACACCAGCCCTTGACAAATGCCTACAGATAGGTCGAGCGCATGAATCATCTAAACACAAAACAAAAACAAACTATTTCACAAAATCAAATTCTAAAAGGTATCAACATAAAAAGAAGATACCTGAGAAAAAGTGCATGTGCTGTGGAATGTTCACATTTCATAGCAGAAATGACTGCCCCACCTCAGCAACAAGATGCAGATGGTCTTCCAAAATAGAACACTATGCAACTGTTTGTAAGCACAAATCAAGAGTTAGGGGAGTTGAAAACAAAGAACACCATTTCTTAGGTTCTGTTACATTGAAAAAAAATAAATGCAGTAAGTGAAGACAATAAGCTTGAATGGCAAGAGAACATAGGTTTTAGACTTGATACTGGTGCAGATATGACTGTAGTACCAGAACAGTTCTTCAGGAAGAATTCACCCATAATAAAACCTACAAACAAAAGGTTATATGGACCAGGTTGACACAAAATAAAAGTCCTCAGGCATGTAGATGCCGCATTGAGTTATGGGAAAATAACTTTGCAACAGGAATTGTATGTTGTATAAGACTTAACAGAATCATTATTGGCAATCAAAGTTCTCAACTTATTATGTAAAATTAAAACAATAAAGAGTGATAGCCACCAGTACAAAAAAAGACTTCTCCAGTGTGTTCACAGGCCGAGGGAAATTGAGGCATGTTTACAAGATTCATTTGAACGAGACAGCACAACCTTTCTCAATTGCCACCTCGAGACATCTACTACTTACCATGAAGGAGAAAGTCCGAGTTAAAATGATGAGAGAAAGAGAGAATTATCCATCCAGTGAAGTCGTTAATAGACTGGTGTGCTCTTATTGTATCAGAGCTGACCAATCATCCCTGCAGACCTCCAAAAAGATATCTTGGATCATCTACATGAAGGACAGCAAGGTATCGTCAAATGCCGAGCACTAGTGTGGGACAATGTTTAGTGGCCAGGCCTTTCAAAAATATTGCTGAGAATATAGGAGGGTGCAGTATCTGTCAGAAAGAACAGAAATATCCACTAGAGCTACCATGACTATCCATGGCAGAAAGTAGGAATGGACTTATTCAAACTGAAAGGACACAGATATTTATTAGTCATTGACTATTATTCCAGATGGATAGAGATATCTTGACTACAATTTCAAGCTGTATTGTTGATAACTGCAAATCAATATTCACTTGATATGGTATTCCTGAAGTTGTCATTAATGGTAACGGTCCTCAGTTCTTATCCAAAGCATTCTTTGATTTCTCTAATGTTTTTGGCTTTGTACACATCATAAGTAGTCACCATCATCCACAAGGAAATGGAAAAGCTGAATGTGCGGTTCAGACTGTCAAGAACTTTTCCAAGAAAGCAAGTGTGAAGGAAAAGAGTTGGTTTTTAAGTTTGACACTGCCGTCCCAAGTATAAGGAGGAAGATAGATATAGTCTTTCTTAGTCTCCGACAATATGCACACCCAAACTGTACGACCAACTCAAGAACAAAAGGAAAAGAAGGGACCCCCCCCACCTGCGAGATTGCTCATTTTATATCAGTTCTAACTGGCCGAAATTTGCATACGTTACACGTCCGTGACTCACAAATAACACCCCCCAAGGACGCTCGTGCTTTTATTAATTTCTGGCACTCTTAATCTCCTCAATGTTACTCCATTGTTTTTTTGATAGCTGCCGATATGTCTCCCGGGCTGCACCTTTCAATCATAGTGGTAAGACCTGCTCTACCTTGGTTATTTCTCAAAGCTCACAGGTTAATTCCACGTCTTCCAACCATTCCATTATTGGGATGTCCGTTGCCGCACTGCTGAATTCGGGAATTAGTCGAACGTCAAATTGCCTTGATGCCATAGTTCTAATACTGCCAAAATAGCATGTGAGGCCTGCTTCGGTTGCCCTGCAGCGGCTAAATGTTTATCCCTGGTATCCACCAATATGGCGCGAACTCTTTCAAGTAGCTCTCTCAAAGTTAGAGTTTCCATCCTGGTAGACGAACGAAGGAGTCCCTTGACGTGACTTGGTAACCCATTAATGAAAGCGCTCTTCATCCAACATTCCGGCGGCATTTCGCCTACCAGCCATGCCCTTGTGAAAGCCTACGGAACAGACTCATTCATAGCTTTCGAACGATTTACCACATGCTGCCTCTGTCCAGAAGAAACTGTGGACAAGTTTCTAACAGATTTGCAACAGCTGCAGGGCAACCGAAGCAGGCCTCACAAAGTGATCCATATATTGCAGTGTTTAACTATCACAGTACTCCAATCCAACATGGCAAGAGTCCTGCAGAGTTTTTAATGAAATAGGAAACTAAGGAATCGCATTCCAACAATTTCTCATAAAAATATATCCAGCTAATAAAATATTAAGTGACACAAAAATGCAGATTCTCAGCTCAAAATGAAACAAAAAGTCCATTTTGACAAGCATTAGTGAGCGTGCACACTGAAGGACTATCACCAAAGTCAGTACTTGTCAAAACTGATTCAGGACTTAGCGTGTTCCCAGAATTTGGGAAACGCTGTATTGGTGAGAGCTCACATATTGGTATTAGCTGAAATGAAGAGAAAAGAATATACCCCACCTCATCAATGTGAGGGATTAATAAAAAAAAGGCCTGAGGGAAAAAAAGAGATCAAGGCAAAAAGTCACCCAGTATTTATAGCAAGGAGAGAGACCCCTGGTGAAGGGTTAAGGAACTAAAGGAGGAGCTAACTCCAACATATCCAAAGCATTCTTGGATTTCTAATGTTTTTCATTGTAGTTTTGTACACCTCACAAGTAGCCCCCATCATCCACAAGGAAACGGAGAAGTTGAACGTGCGGTCCAGACAGTCAAGAACTTTTTGAGAAAGCAAGTGATTGATATACTGCACTGTTTAACTATCTGTTATGGGAACTTACCTATAACGATAATGGACTCTTCCTGACACTATAAATACTGTGTCTCTCAAGAGATATAAGGAATGAATGGCGTAACGAGTTGAGACAATATTAGTTCACTCTAAACCAGACGGACAGTCATTACTAACAACTTCAACTTCTTGTACTATATTTCTGTTGTAATATATCTTTGTTATTCTACTCTTGTGTTCGTGTTGTTCTTCCTTGGTTCTAACCTAGGACCATAACTGTGGTGTGAGGATATTGGACCATAACACTATCGTAGTACTTCACTCCAACATGGCAAGAGTTGTTAATGAAATAGGAAACTCAGGACTCTCATTCCAACAATTTCTCATAAAAATATATCCTGCTAACTAACAAAATATTGAGCAACACAAAAATGCAGATCCCCAGCTTAAAATGAAACAAAATGTCAATTTTGACAAGCATTATTGAGTGTGCACACTGAAGGACTATCACCAAAATCAGTACTTGTCAAGACTGATTCAGGACTACTTCATTGAAACAGAAGCCATCTTCGCAATAGAAATGAGAAAACTAAGTTCCCTCAGGTAGAAACTCCAACAGAATTGTCTACCTTACCAACCATACCCAGAGACATTCCTGAGTACAGCCTTGACAATTCAGGAGAACATCTTGTCGAATAAGTTGATCAACCAGAGACCCAGTTCACGACACACAGGGATGTCCCACCTGTCAAATTGGGAAGTCCCAAGTCAGCAGTGTAAACCAGGAGTGATCAGAGAATTCAACCACCAAATAAACTGTCATTATGAATTCATAAACTGAAAGAAGAATGTGGTGTAATTTGAAATTATCTCCCTTAGATTATAGAATATTTACATAAGAACTCTCTAGTTTTATAAAAGTAGTTTCAGCCCCAAATGTAAACATGTTATCATTCATTCTCATGTACTCCTTGCCAAATAAATCAAAGCTTAAAACTAATGCTGCATTATTACTATTTATTAATCCAATACCGTCAAAACACACATTATTACATCAGACACCTCTAAAAGTAAAGCTGGAACAACACTGAAAAGCCATCAAGAGGAATGAAGCAATGAATTGATTGATTGATTGATTTGTTTTCTACAGCTTAAGGAAATATTTTTAGATTAGAATTTTTTTTTTAAATAATAATAGTTTAGTGACACAAGTTTTACTAATTAACCCATAGCTGAGGGGGAGAAGAGGTGGATTCATACCTTTCCCAAGAGTATTTGCATGTAAGGGAATATAATGAACCCTACATGAATAGGAACTTGGCTCTCCAATTAACAATTCCAAGCTATTATACATTACACCACTAGAACGTCCAAGTTTACAGCACCTGGTATTCTCAAGCAATCACCCATCTAGGTACTGACCAGGTTCAACGTAGCTTAACTTTGATGATTGTATAGGAACCAGTGTTTCAACATGATGTGGTTGTAAGCCCTATGAGAGAATGAAACCAGGCATGGCTGATCATGTATGTAGGGAAACGGGTGGTCACCAGTCTCTTTGGAATGAAACAAAAAGGCTAGATATAGAAGAACACTGGAGAATAAGTGTGTATGGGACTCTTTAATGAACAAGGAGAAATGATATCAAGGTTTCAGGAGCAGCAACACTAAGAAAAGAGTATTAGCAGGCAGAAAAGAAAACATTAGGCTTAAAGCTCCAAAAATGTTAAATGAGACAAAATCATTATTAAGGAGAGAAAACAATAAAAGCCAAGTGGATGAAAGTGCTGGTTCCTGGATTTTGTGACATATTCCAGTTCCTGGTCTGGGTAGTACAGATATCAATTCAGTGAACAGAGGATGATCAATAACTGAGCAGTGCTAAACAAGAAAAACCTACATTTAGACTCATCACAAAATTCCTTGACGTTTATTCAGGTTGAAAGACATCTGAAGAATACCATAGGGCATAACAGAAGAAATGTGACAGTAATGAGAAATTTAGTCTGAATGTAAATTATATCAGAGCAATATGTTTAGCAGTTTACAATTGAATATCTAATACAAATTATTTCAACTCAAGTGTGTAGGTGAAACAGTATTTTAAATTTATATTTTCTCTTCCGATATTTTTCCCTCAGTCTATTGAGTTTTGTGATTAAGTACTTTGATGAAAATCTTTAGCAAATTGGTGAAAATATTCGATAGTGTATGTGAAAGGCTGTTTTAAATATCTTATCAGTTCTCAACTCATTATCTGTGATGATGACACAACTATTTACTCCTGTCTTAAAGGTAAGTTCAAATTGGCAGCTGATCTCAAAAATGACCTACAATCTCTTGTTAACTGGGGCAAGAAATGGCATTTTTTCATCCCTCCAAAATGAAACTGCTCTCATTTACTTGTCTTCCATCTGCATGGCTGATGCTAACTTCCAGGGGGGTAACTCACTGCACCTTCTCAGACTAATGTTTTCCACAGACATGAAATGGAAAGATTACATTGAATTAATTGCTAGGTCTGCTACTAGGAAAGTTGGTTCACTGTGTTGTAATAGACAATTTTTCTCTCCAGAATCTATCTTACATATTTAAAAACTGACCATTCATTCATGCACTGAATATTGCTGCCACATCTGGTCTGGAGTTTCAGCTATGTATTTAGAAATTCTTGATGAAATATAAAGAAGAATCTGCAATGTTATCAGTCCTGACTTGGCATCTCGATTTCAGTGCTTTTTTTATGAATATTTTCATGGTAACTGTCCTGAAGAGTTTTCCTTTTTGGTACATTCTAATAGTTTCTTTTCTCGCTTGCGGAACTCTCTTCTGGCTTCTTTCATGCCAGTCAACATTGATCTTTGAAAATTTAAATGCATTGTCAATGTTTATCTTACTTCTTGTTCTTTTATTGTACCTTTTCCTTGATAGTAGTTTTATAAGTTTATAAGTCTACTATTTGTGCATGCATTAAATGTTGCTGCCACATCTGGTGCTTCTGCTATACACTTAGAGATTCTTGATAAAATACAAAAGAGAATGTGCATTAATATTAGTCCTTGCCTGGCATCTTGGCTTCAATCACTTTGCCACTGATGTAACATAGCTTCTCTGTGCCTATTCTATAAATATTTTCATGGTTATTGTTCTGATGAACTTTCATCTATGTTACCTAGACTTTATAAGTTTAAACACAGTACTAGATTGGCAGCAAGGTCTCATCATTTTACACTTGAAATGACTAGATGTAACCACAAGTTCTATGCTAACAGTTTCTTCTATTGTACTTGTCGCTTGTGGAACTCACTTCTGGCTTCTTGCTTTCTGGCCAACTTTGATTTTCAGAAATTTAAATGCAATATCAACCATTATCTTTTACAATGTTAATTGTTGTTCTTTTATTGATCTCCCTCCTTAATAATGTTTTTACTCATATTCTTTTGCACTCAGTAATCACTTGCATCTTAGTGACTTTATTGCCTTGCTTGGGGTGAAATGATTAAAAAAATATTGACATTTTAAGTTTCAACTTTCTGAAAATGCAGATTAATGTCTCATGAATGTGATGCAGCTAAAATTGTATTTAGAATTCTGAAAAAATGTAACTCAGAAGAATACAGCTACCCTAAAGAGGATGTATCTGCATATGAATTTTTAAACTTGGTTTCCGTGAAAATTCTGAACCACAAACATCACATTTATATGGTTTCTCACCAGTATGGATTCGCATGTGTCTTTTGAAATGTGAGCTATATGAAAATCTGGAACCACATACGTCACAGGAATATGGTTTCTCTCCAGTATGTGTTCGCATATGATATTTTAAACTTGAACTCACTGTAAATGTTGAGCCACAAATTTCACAAGAATATGGTTTCTCACCAGCATGTATCCACATGTGAGATTTTAAACTTGAACTCAGAGAAAATGCTAAACCACACACTTCACATGAATATGGCTTCTCTCCAGTATGTGTTCGAATATGTATTCTTAAATTAGAGCTTCGTGAAAATGCAGAACCACATACTTCACAAGAATGTGGTTTCTCTCCAGTATGTGTTTGCATGTGAGTTTTTAAAACTGAACTCTCTGTAAATTGTGAACCACATACTTCACATGAATATGGTTTCTCACCAACATGTAATAGCATGTGAGATTTTAAACTTGAACTCTGGGAAAATGCCGAACCACACACTTCACATGAATATGGTTTCTCACCAGTATGTGTTAGCATGTGTGTATTTAAACTTGAGCTCAGTGAAAATGCTGAACCACATACTTTACATGAATATGGTTTCTCCCCAGTATGTGTTCTCATGTGTCTTTTTAAATGTGAGGATAATGAAAATGCTGAACCACACACTTCACAGGAATATGGTTTTCCGCCAGTATGTATCGACATGTGAGTTTTTAAACTTGAATTTTGTGAAAATGCTGAACCACACACTTTACAAGAATAGGGCTTCTCACCAGCATGTATTCGCATGTGAGATTTTAAACTTGAACTCTGTGAAAACGCTGAACCACAAACATCACAGGAATATGGTTTTTCCCCAGTATGTATTCGTACATGTGTCTTTAAACTTGAACTTTGTGAAAATGATAAACCACAAACTTCACAAGAATATGGTTTCTCCCCAGTATGTGTTTTCTTATGCATTTTTAAATATGTGCGCCGAGAAAATGTGGAACCACATACTTCACATGAAAATGGTTTCTCCCCAGTATGTGTTTGCATGTGTGTTTTTAAACTTGAGCTTGCTGAAAATGCTGAACCACAGACTTTACATGAATATGGTTTCTCACCAGTATGTGTTCTCATGTGTCTTTTCAAATGTGAATTCAATGAAAATGCTGAGCCACACACTTCACATGCATATGGCTTTTCACCTGTATGTACCCACATGTGACTTTTTAAACTTGAACTTTGTTTAAATGCTGAACCACACACTTCACATGAATATGGTTTCTCATTTGTGTGTGTTTTCATATGCATTTTAAAATTTGACCTTGATGAAAATGCTGAAGCACATACTTCACATGAATATGGTTTTTCACCTGTATGCGTTTTCATGTGTATATTTAAACTGGCACCATGTGTAAATGCAGAGCCACACACTCCACATGAATATGGTTTCTCACCTGTATGTGTTCGCATGTGAGATTTTAAACTTGATGTATATGAAAATGATGAACCACAGACTGCACATGTATATGGTTTCTCACCAATATGTGTTTGCATGTGAGATTTTAAAGTTGATTTCTGTGAAAATGCTGAATCACACAGTTCACATGAATATGGTTTTTCACCTGTATGTGTTCGCATGTGAATTTTTAGCTTTGAATTAGCTGTAAATGCTGAACCACACACTTCGCAGGAATATGGCTTATCTCCATTATGTGTCTTCATGTGAGTTTTTAACATTGAACTGTCTGTAAATGATGAACTACACACTTTACATGTATATAGTTTTTCTCCAGTGATTGTCTGCATTATAGTTTTGAATTGCAAATTCTGTGAAAGTTCCAATCCATCTTCTTCACATGTGCTGGGATTGTCTCTAGAATATGCTTGCATGTCTATCTTTTCATGAGAACACCTTTCCGTTTTGATAATCTGTACAAAATAGAATTTAACAGAAGAACTGAAATTATCTTTGTTGTATTTTTATTCTTTTCGGCATAACATTCTAAATGGAAACAAAAATATCTTTACAAAATGTCTTCTGCTGTAAAGTTAAAAAGTGTTTTTGTCACTTTGTTTTTAGCATACCACTCTAAAATGCAAATAAACAAACCTTTTAATGTTTTCTGCTGTACATTAATTTTAAAGTTCACAGAACCTTTCTCATATATTAGAATTTAAAACAACACAAATGTTGAAATAAAACTGTTTACATTTTAATCCTATCAAAAAAATATTAGACATAATAGAAATTAGTCAGATTTTTTTTTTTTTACAGCAAATATATAATTTTTCAAACTGTCACTAGAATCCAAAACTTAAAAATACCATAGCCCTATTTTTCATTATTAATTATGATAATTATTATTGAATTATTCTTCTGAATTAAACTATGATGTTCCATAATAATCATATATATCTGAAAAGATTGAAGACTTAGGCTTGAAAAAAAACATTCCACACCCTTCATCTTTACCAGATAATGCTCCATTTGATTACCATCTCATCTGGAGTTTACGGAAAGCATTTTCATATAGGCTTATTTAAAACAATTCATGAAAGTAAACTATTTTATCGATATATTTTCCTTCTAAACCAAAAGACTTCTTTACATTTTTTGAATTTTCAATCGTCTTTATGTAATAAAAAAACACTTCTAATGGATAGCAACAGAATGAATTTCAAAATTGCACTAAAAATTATAATTTAAAAAAAATTATTAAGTGTATTTTTTTCCATTCAGTCAGAAAGAAAACAATGTGTTTTCTTAAATTATACAAGTACCAACAGTCAGGAAAATT